AGCACCTGGCATTTAGCATATTTTTATTTTATGTTTTCTTTGGGTTCCTTTTTGTCAAGCGGCTCAAGGGGCTGCCCAGGAATAGTTAAGGGGGCTTAAGAGAAAAGTCAAAAGACAGCAATCATCCACTTCTTTGCAGAATACTCTTGACTATCCCAGTACTATCCAGTGCCTTAGCTTGGCAGGCTTGGGGTGGGTGGGGGTGGATGGATGGATGGTTGATGTGCCATCAAGTCAGTGTTGACTCTTGGCAGCCACACAGAAAGACTTTCTCCGTGACGATCTGTCCCCAATCTGGTCCTTCAGATCTTCCAATGGTGTACCTATCACCACTACAACAGAGTCCATCCTCCTCCTTCTCTTCCTTCCACTTTGCCCAGGCCTCTCCAGGGAGCGGGCTCTTCACATCCTGTGTCCAAAATATGGTAACTGGAGCCTGATCGTTTTGCCCTCGAGTGAAAACTCAGGATCGGTTCGCTGTATGAGCCGTTGGTTTGCGGGCTACGTGTGAAAAGCATTTCCCAGATGAAGCTGGGCTCATCCTCTCTGAAAAAAAGGGAGGTTGGTTCAACTATCTGAACCAGTGAGGTTTAATTAAAGCCATAACCATTATCTTGTCATATTTTGTGGAGGGGTGTTTCTGTTGGTTTTTAATCGTATGCTCGCCACCCAGAATTGCAATCAGCAAGACGGACAGCTATATAAATTGATAAGTAAACAGAAGTTGGCTCTGATAGGGCCAGGACTGGGAGTATTGATTTAAGACAGTATCCTGATTCATACATCGCCAGGTTAGGGGTTGCTTAACTATGGTTTACTGATTGAACCATTATGGCTGAGCCCATGCGGTGGCTTAATGCTGTGGGAATCCAGTTGCTGTTGGGGGAGAGGCCCTAGGAAAATATTCAGCCTTGGTTTCCATGAACGGTGCCAGGGCCAACAACCTCTACAGGGATTACTGTGTATCCTGAGATTAAAACCTGGCTGTTGGACCTGCAGCAGCTTGACCTGTGAGGTGCAGTTGCAGAAACCAGTTGAAGTGGGAGCAAGCAGCTGCAGAGCTGTTCCTGTGCATGCCATCTTCCTCCCTTCGGCAGGGATCTGGTTACGCGCTGAATAATAAAGCAAAGGATTGCCTGAGGCAAGTTCACTCCTGGGAACTCTCTGGCAAGCAAGCGATTACAGCGGAGAGCCACTGCTGGGGAAAGGCTTGTGAGAAAGACATGAGCGCTGGGCGCAAGGCAGGCACCTGCATTATTGAGGGAGCAAAGCATCGGAGATTATCTATCTATCTATCTATCTATTCATTCATTCATTCATTCATTCATTCATTCAATCATCTTTGTATAGCCACCCACCTCAGAGTGACTCTGGGCAGTGTACATAGTAATAATCAAGAACATATAAAACCATGAAAACAACCAATTTAAATTAAAATAAAAACGAGATAAAAATAAAAAATGGCAGGAGAACATACAGAGGGGGCATTGCATTAACTACATGTAGTCCATGCTTAATGGCCAATCATTTAACGATGGATCAGAGTTACGACGGCCTCAGAAAAAGTGCTTTACCACCTGTACTTGCACTTATAACTCTCGTACCCCCCACAGTCACATGATTGCAATTTGCAACCATTGTTATGATGGTCATTAAGCAAATCACCATGGTTGTTAAGCAAATCTCATGGTCATTAAGTGAATCACATGGTTAAGTAAATTCTGGCAAAAAAAGTCCATTGGGAAAGCTGGATTCACTTAACGAGCACATGATTCACTTAACAACCATCATAAAAATGGTCATAAAATTGGATTCAGTCACATGGTGACTTGCTTAATGACCACCCCACTTAACCAACCTATTGTGGTTGTTAAGTGAGGACTACCTGTATCATATAACCATCTAACAGGCTCCACTCTGCCATGGGATCCCCAAGCTAGTTGACAAAGCTGTGTTTTAAGGGCTTCCTGAAAGCCAGCAGGGTTGGGGCCAACCTCACCTCAAGGGGAGTGACGTTAAATATAATGTCTTGTTCATTTCCAAAATCAGTATGTACTAGCCCAGTAGAGGTGTCTACTTCCCAGCAGACAGCAGGGTTGGCCTGCCTTCTGCCATCCTCCTGATGTTGCATCAGCTACAATTCCCACGTCTGGGAAGTATGAGAATTGTAGTTCAAGCACCTCAGAACTGTGCTTGGCTGAGGAAGGCTGGGCAGATGAAGTCAGCACTGAGTCGGCTTTACCACGTATGTGCAACAACCTTATTGTTGAATAAGTCCTAGTGAGCTGCTTTATGCACCGTGCTCTGCTCTGAAGCATGGCTTACCAACCCTGGGGGCAGGCTGTGCCAAACCTAAGCAAACTGCACAACAGTTAAAGGCTGTGCGTGGCCCCCAACTATTGCACTTATCTGGTACACCTTGAAGAATGGGTCTTCAGCCACTTCAGTTCATCTCAAGCATGGAGGGCGGCAGAGGGTGACCTGTTTAGAAATTCACCCATGACTCTCATGGCCCCTGTTCTCAACTGGCTGGGCTCCCCCATCACCGTTCTGCAAAACAGACCGGACCCCATTCCAACCAGAGTCACAGGCCAGGACTTCTTAGCTGAGCTTTACTGAGCTGAGCTGGTGTTTCGGGAAGAGGGAGAGAACACCCTCCTTCCAGAGCTGTAGAGAAAGGGAAGATCCAAGCTAAGATGGTCGAGGCCCAGGCAGACGGATTTATGGGTGTGGTTCTGCTTTTGGGAATAAAGATCCCGTTTATTTTCTTTTGGCAATTTCCTCTATTTACATTGGTGCCAAGAGTTAGTCCACCACAGGTGCAGGGATCTTCTCTGTGAGGTCTATTGTGATGATAAATATGAACCCTGAGAATATTCCCATTTTCAAATCAGTTCAATAAGCTTGCGATGCCTGGCTGCCTTTTACCAGAGAAGACATATAACATTAATTATGTTGTAAATGACAGCCCTGCTCTGGATTTTATATCATTGGTTAAGCCATCTCTGAATAACAAGGAAGTGAAGGATCAGGGCAATTCTTTTTAAGAGTTTTAATGGCTTTTATCACAAAGGGGGATTCCAAGAAGAAACCTTAAAGCAAACTGTAGGGAGATAAGTAGATTATCACCATTCTGGTGATGCTATCAAGTTTTTGTTCCTATGGCACAGGTTTTGTTTCTTGCAAGGGAAGATTGGAAACATCCGTTGATTAATTGCAGGGGAATAATCAACTAATTATTCATAAGTTGATACGGGTTTTTTTTATTTTTTTAAGCAAAAAAAGAGGCCTCTTGAGGGAACTTCATTAAAAAAAAAACAACCCTTGATTTAATCAAGAGGGTGCAGGGAATTATCCGTAAATCAAAACTCTCTGATTTTGCCTAGTCTTCAAAAAGTTAAGCAGGGTTGGATCTGGTCATTACCTGGATGGGAGATGAGCAGGAAATCTCAATCCCTTTCAAATTGTTGGCAAGAAAACTGTATGGATGTGTCCATAAAATCATTAGGAACCAAGCTTGGTTTGAAAGGGGCTTTACCTGTACCTTAAATACCCCAAAAATGCCTTTGATATGAATTCATTCAGTTAACTAGCAAGACAGGAGTTCCTTTAGATGTTGTATCAAATGTCTTCATTGCTGGGTTTACATTACTGCTGTCATTTTGCAAGTTTTTGAAACCGATCAAAGAAGGAATTTCTCCAATGTGGTACCTTACAAATGCATTGAAGTTTAGACGTGACGCCCTTTGGGCAGAAAGGCAAAATATAAATAGAAT